CCACTTTCTGCAAGGTAACCTCTTGGGGTGTTATTTTTGAAGCAGTCAAGAAATGTTATGGGGCAATTAGCTCTGGAAAGTGAATGGTAAATTCAGTTTTTGCTCCTCTGTATTAGTTAAGACTCATAAGAGCACAAGTGCCAGAAAAATAACCCAGCAGGCCTATTTCATATAACTCAAGTAACTCAGAGGTCCTATGGAAGGGCTGACAATAAGCACTGCTTAATGCAAGGATTCAAGTCATGTAAGTGACCTACTCTGTACTGTCTCTTGACTCAGTTATTTTGTTCCCTGTAATTTGGCTTCATTCTCAAACAGCTGCTTTGAATCTCCTGTCTTCTCATCTTCATATCCACAAAGAAAGAGAGAGCCTGATTTTCAAATAGTTCAAACAAAATCCCATCATTAAGCCTCAGGATGCCCCAGAGTGGGTGGTGTGCCATCTTTAAGCCAATGACTAAGACTTGCAGGGGGGATGGGCTGTCCTGACTGCTTTAGCCAAGGTCTCATTCTCCAAGCCATGGTTCAAAAGGTAAAGTCAGTTCCCTTGCAAACAGCTGGAATTAGAGGGGAAAAGAGGGGATTACCACGTGAATTATTATCTTGTTGTTTTATCATAAGAAGGCGGGGCAGTCTCTGGTTTGTAAATCAACACAAACTTCAGGGATTATTTGGTGATGTTACCTCCATGTGGATAGTGTGATCAGTGAAAAACATACAGGGCCCAAGGGGTAAGCATTTCTCTGCACCATTTATCAGCTGGTAGCCATTCAGGAAAGACAGGTATTTTCCATAGTTTATTGCTCAGGGACCTGGATTTGGGTAAAGAAAAATATATATTGCTATTCATGATCAAAATACTTCACAAAAAGGGTAGATCCTGTTTACTAGGAAACACTTTATTTTCTGAGAACCTTAATGGGTGTGGGAAAGTTTAGAAAGAGCTGAGATACCCTGACTCACAGAGGGAGGGTTGGGACCAGATGGGGGATTCATAGGGGAGGGACAGGGGGGACCAATAAGAAATACCAAGGAGAGAAGAACCAATGAAAAATATGAAGTCAGTGATTCAGTGGGATGAAGGTCAAATGGCAACTATCTCTAGGGCTTGGGTCAATGGTATTTCAAGGACTGGGATATAAAGTGCTGAGTTTGAAGATGTCAAGAGTACTGCTCCACAGAAAACTGCAGAGCTTCCTGAATTTCCACAAAAGTTCACTGACTTAACCAGTGCTTTAGTTGAAGGATATTTTCATGTGATTTTGTTTGGTTTTGTTTTATGTACTGGGACTCAAAAAGAGGGCTGGGTTATAAATCTACAGAGATCCCTGGTATGAAAAGCATATCAAGATGCTGGTGTGACTCTTGAGAGAGAACACTGTACGTGCTGCAAATTGCAGATGTTTGAGAAGTAACTGGACTTTTAGAGGAAATCTAATTGAGTTATAGTTATGCAGTTCCTTTAAGAATTAGTTGGGTAATATCTAAAAATTTCAATGCCTAGGCTTCAGCCCCGACCAATTAAGTCAGAATTTCTTTAAGTGAGACCAGGCATTCACCATTTTTGAAAGCTCCCCTGATGATTGCACAGGCAGCCATGCCTGCAATTATACACCTTATTTGGTCTCAGAGAGCTCCAGAACTTAGCTGACATCTGAATAACCCCTACATGTATATGACTCTGGGCTGCATAAACCTCAGATGATACTGCGGTGACACCACCTCTTACTCCCTCAGGAAAACCAATGCCATATGCAAGATGGCAGAATAGCTGCTTCGAAGACAATCTGCTCCGTGTTCGTGTTACCATTTGATGCACTGCTTCTCGGTTTTATGTGTGTTTTTTCACATAGCAGAGTATAATGAAGAGAGATGTGTGACTGGACAGTTGTCTTTCCATGACCACCTCTCTAGCTTGGCCCTGTAGGCCTGGGAGAGGGTTGACATTTCCTCCTTTTTGCTTCTTTTGATGAGGTCTGCAATCTTCTCCAAGGCCACTCCTGTCTTTCTGCTTCTGATAGCAGTAATGAGCCACAAAACCCCAATCCTCTAAGGGATAAATCATGAGACACCAAGACTGATAAAAAAAAAAAAAAACAGGCAAGGTCAATAATTTTTCTATATCAGCAATGACTGGTGAGACATAGAGTGAGAAATATTCCTAAGAAAAATATAAAATATCCAGGTGTAAGTTTCACAGGAAATATGAAAGATGCATAGAAGGTTACATGACTGAAGGACAAACACATGACAAGGAGGTATTTTGAAATGAAAAGCTTGGATATTAAATGTCAATTTTTTAATTTTTTTGCTAAATGTAAATATACATTCAAAACAGTCCTAGTTTAAAACATTTAATTCTTTTTGAACTTAAAATGTTTTCTCATCTTGAAGAATAAAAACAACATATTTAGAAATAAAATTTAGCAAAGAATAATGAGAATGATCCTTTACCAAATGGATATTAACACAATATGTTTAAAGTAGAGTAGTTGACATAGAAAAATAAACCCAGCTAGATTTAAGGCTGAGGTACAGAAACTGACCTATGACACTAGGGGAAGTTGCTATAGAAATGATGGCTTTTTGAAATAGTCTTTAGAAACCTCACAGGAAAAAAAAATAAGGCTAATAACATCACTTGAAAAAAAGAAGTTAAATACTCATGGAACACCATATAAAAAGGGTTAACATTCTGACTGGAATAATATCTATTTATGTAATAAACTGCACTGTTCTAGGTGTTTTACAGATGTGAACAAATGGAAGAGAAAGAGGCTTGTACTGTCCCCTTACTAATGATAAGTGGAGCTTGTGGACAGTAAGGAGCTTGCTCAGGTCACACAACCAGTGGAGTTATCACCCAGGCCATCTGGCTTCAACCTCTTTACCTGCATGCAGGCACACGCATACATACACACACACACAGTGTGTCCCAGACAACATGGCTGTGTCACAAGTCACCTTAACACTTGGAGGTGTGGTACAACAACCATTTTCTCATGTTCACATTTTTGTGGACCAGAAATTCAGAAAAAGAGCAGCTGGGCAGTTCTTGCATGGGGGCTGTCATGTGACTGCTGTGAAATGACAGAGGTCAGATGGGCTGGATATCCATGGTGGTCTATTCAACTGGTTGGCACCTGATGCTGGCTTTGGCAGCTCAGCTGGGGCTGTTAAGGAGGTACCAGCTGGAGCTTCTCCAGCATGGTGGTCTTGAGAAGTGGGGCTCCTCACATGCATTCTAGCTTTGGAGCAGGTGTCCAAGAGAGCTTGGCAGAAGCCTTGAGTCCTTCTTTGACCCCATCTTGAAGGTCTCAGGGTCACTTTCTCTGTAGTTTTTGGTTGAAGCCATCACAAGCACAACCAGAGTCAAGAGGCAGTTCACAGACTGTGCCTCTCAATGCAAAGAAAACATGGGACCAAATTTTAAACCACTACAATATATCATTATATCAACAAAAAGATATCGAAAACTTATTTACTGGTTACTTAGAGCCACTCATTGTGCTAAGTCTATTAATATGGGTATTTTATATAAATTATACACTAATATTTACATTTAAAATAAACATCAAAGTAAAACCATGCATTAGAAGTTGCAGGGCTGTGCTTCCCCATAAGACACGCTGGTGTTGGTGATGTCCAGGTTAGTGGGTCAGAGTGTTCTGGGTTGCATGACCTCACCCAGAGCCCCAGAGTTGAGGCATCCACAGGCTGGGCCCTACCTGGTGGGAAAACAGGTGGTACCAATTGGAACCCTATGGTGTTGACTGTAAAACAGGAGGCCTGGGTGGTGGAAAGAGAAGGGAGAAGAGGCAGAGGGCTAAAGTGTGGGAGGCACAGGTGAGCAGAGTCGTGTGCTCCGCCAGCCCCTTCTCAGTGTCCCATTATCCTCTCACTGCTCCTCATTCCTTCACCTCCAACTTCCATGAGGAAGAAACTGGAAGTGTCCCAAAGTCATGGTTTTACATGAAATCAGCATGTCATGTAGTGCCTGGGTGCTGGTTGCTTTTGTAAAATCAAAATTTTTCCCCAAGGCTGCCAAAATTCCCCTGTAGGGGGGGCCTTTGGTGTAGGCCACAACTTCTTTCTACAGTCTGATTTGCCACACACCTCTCCCCAACATAAAAGTGTCATCCCTAAATCCAGGCCCTTCCTCCCTACCCCCCAGGGCCCAGGCTCAAATCTCTCCAGTTTAAGGTCTGTTGCGGGTGTTTCACTTCTCTAATGCCAAAGCTTGTTCCTTAAATAAAGTTAAGGGTAAGCAGGCTCTGCTGCCAGCTGATACCAGAAAAGGCACAAATACTTGAGGCCACAGAAATGATCTGGTGGGTGTAAATCACTAAAACCCTTACAGACAACAGCTTGCCAGAACATATCAGAGGTGGTGTTGCTTTAATTTTCTTTTTCATGCTTGCATCTCACCTTGACTGATTTGAGTTTTGATCGGCATTTCCCATATCAGTTATAAATACATACATATACTTTTATTCTTCAACTTTCCATTGGTGCCTATAGGCTCGTGGGTGGGGAAGTAGATGTAAAGCATTATTTAGTCTCCAGGGAACCTGAGCAGTCACATCACTCCAGAGCTCTGATCAGCTCAGCTGAAACCTATGGTTATGCAGAACCTTGCTGAGAAAGGCCCTGGGCTATGGGTTCCATCTGACCCCTCCTTCCTGTCTATACCCTGATCACCATCTGACTTCTTTTCAAACAAGCAGCCAGGTCTCTAGAGCCAGCAGCAAAGGTCCCACCTCTTTTTTTACTGTTATCAGGAGCCACCAGAGCCGAAGGCCTGGCTTCCCAGACTCCCTCCATGACTCAGTAATCCAAAAAGGGGCAGCATATTCTCCTAACATGCCTGCTGTGGACATATGTGTCAGCTTTTTTCCCCTCCTCTGCCCTCCAGAACTCTTCTTAAAGTAACTGGTGTTGGTGATGTCCAGCACCAACCCTTCAGGCACACCCCCCAAGACAGTGAACAATTCAAGGAGTAGTGAATGTTACTTTTTATTGCATAAAATAGGGGCAGAACATGTGCACAAGGGATAGGTGCATCTAGAAAGCAATTAAAAGAAAGAAACAAGTTAGAGCTGCTTAGCTGTTCAAACAATGTTCAAGAAGCCTTCTCTATTTTTATTCTGGGACTAGCACACTGAGGGGACTCCACAAGGGTGGGGGAGTGTGAGAAGCGGTCAGCGTGGCCCAGCCTGTCACATCCTCTATGCATCCTGGCAGCTGGACTTCACCATAGACATCTTGCCCAACCAAGGAACAGTGTATATCTGGAAAGAGCAGAGTGCTTTCTGCAAAAGAGAAGTGAGAATGGTGGTCAGTTAGGATTACAGTGAAAAAAGAAATGGCCTAGTACCAGATCTCAGAAGTGCAGGTTAGGGACTCTGGTTGTTAGGTGGAACTTTTAGTCCCCTACCCTGCTGAGCCCCAGATGACTCTGAATGACTCTGCAGTGGCCTCTTGGTAACCCATCCCATCGCTCCAAATCCAGGAGATAGCTTCCTGTCCCTCTTCCCCGCAGGAATCCACATTGCTACATCCCCAGCACAGCCCTTTAAGGAGAAGCCTAGGCAAGGATACACAGCCCTGGAGGGAACAGGGTATGCAACCAAGTTCCCTCCATCTTCAGTGGGCCAGCACTAAGACACGTCCAGAAGGAAGAACCCAGGTCTGGGAACCTTCCTGAAAGAGGCAGTGTGTTCCGGAAGGTGGCAAGAGGGTAAAGGTCTCCCCATAGGCTGAGACATCATAAGAACTGTCCCACCCAGGGGACAGTCTGGTGTTTAGTGAGCAGGGCAGCATGAAAGGGTTTCTTCCCTTATAGGCCTTTAGTACTCGTTAATCTGCTCTAGTGGCTAATACTGGGGTAATAGGGCCCCATGTGCTCCACCAGCTGCTTCTTCCATTCAGCAGGCACATGGTGCCCAAATGTCCCAGCTCAAACATTCTAAATTCAAATTAGAAATCTTAGGAAATTGTGTGCACACTGGCACCCTTTCCCCCACATGTACCCCAACACCTGCATGCCCCACCCACACCACAGAACTCCATATGACTTACCTCTATGGGCACAACCCCACCCCTGTGCCCTGCATGTCTGGCCTCTGGCCCACATTAGGCACATACCTTCCTCAGGTGTGGCTGGACATGGAAGGGACAGCTGGCCAAGTTGGGCTGGGACTTGGTACATGTGGTTCGACCGACTTCCACATCTAAGAAGTAGTTCAGCCCAGCCACGACCTGTGCATGTGAAGAGTAGGACAGGCTTTCAACACTTACCCATGTCACACAGGCATAGTTACCTTCCTGTTATTGCACACAGGGCCAGAATCCATGAGTTGCCAGGTCCAGTACCCAGAATGCACCCAGTCACCTCCTGATGGCTGCCCAAGCCAATGTGCCTTAGGTCCTCCTTGTAACCTACTTATGGAACAGTTCTGAAAAGGTACATCATACAACCTGGCAGGAAGAGAGGCCAGGAAAATAGAAGGAAAAAGCCAGACACCAAAATTCTGCCAGGAGCTGAAGGTGCAGCTCTGGGGAGCCAGCTAGAGTGTCAGCAAATCAACTGAGTCATCGCCAGGAACCAGGGCAGAGACTAGGACAAAATGGCAGTTCAGCTGGAGCCAAGGCTGGTTCTGCCTCAGTAAGACTCACATAATAATGATCTGGAAGTTATATAATCCAGTTAGTAACATTCAGCTCATCAAAACTCTCATTCCATGTAACTCAGTTTACTCATGCCTGCACTGAGCAGTAGGAAATGAGGCTTTTTCACACATGCACACACACACATAGATGCTTGAGGCCAATAAAAGATGTCCCTGAAATGCTTGCCTTTTAAGAGTTATTTGTGATGGAAAGACTTCTAAAATGTTTTATGTATTTCATGTTTTACATTTGAGATTACAGAAGTGAAGTCTGTTCTCAAACAGGCATGCCCCAGACACATCTTGTGAGAACTCAGAAAACCTTATGATGAGGGGCCCAGATCAGGCTCTAGATTCTCTGATGTATCTCAAGGAAGTTCTGTGATCTCTCTGGTGTCAGTTTTCCATGTGGACTAATGAGCTATGGCACCAAGCTAGTGGAGAGGAGCAGGCTGGTGGGGACCTGTTGAGCAGGGAATGCACATCCCATCCAAAGGGGACAGTGCCAGCCAACTGCTGCACGAGAAATGGATCTGATCTTGACCCATCATCTGATGTTTCAAGAGGAGGTGAAAAGAAGCCTTACCAGGGGTGTCCAACATTTTTGTGTAGCTGGGCCACACTAGAACAACAGTTGTCTTGGGCAACACATTAAATATATTGTGACACATAATCACACACAAAAAATCTCATAATGTTTTAAGTAAATTTATGATTTTGTATTGGGCCACATTCATAGCCATCCTGGGATTCATGCTGCCCACGGGCCACAGGTTGGACACCCTAAACACTAGCACACGACACCATACTTTGTTGCTGTGTGGCTATGTTCTGCTTGTCAGTGGGATACAGACCAGCTGGTCTAAATCCCACCCTTTCTTCAAGGACAAGCTCAAGGCCCAGTAGCCCTTCCTGATGCTCCCTCCCTTCCCTTTCTGGACTATGATAACTGCCCTCCCAATCTGGCCAGAACCTCAGGGCAGGCTGGCAGAGGCAGGGCGAGATATGATCTACTCTAGGCTAGTAAATACTCGACTATTTCCAGCTATTGGTGGTGGGGTGCCCATTTCAGGGTGGAGGAAGACACTCCAAAATCCAGAGACTGCTCCGTGGGTGGGATCTATGGAGGGAAGCAATGCTCCAGGGGCCTTTCCTCCAGTATCTCCTGGAAGGTTTGAATTTTTATGTAACACCCTCTGGTGTAGCATCCAACTGGACACCAAAGGCCATATCCTGGACTCCTCTGTGTTTGGTGGTACCCCTGAGGGTGATCAATGAGCAGTGAGGGCCCTCCTCAAAAACGACATTTGGAGTGTTGTGGCCCCAAATACCACTGCACATGGAGGGCATGAAGATTGGTTTAGCAGCACTTGCTGAGACCTGCTGAGAGGAGACTAGGAGAACATACCTCTTCTGCATGACCCAAATCTTGAGGAAACCTCAGGCTAACACAAACTGAGTGCCAGTCTGCATATGCTGGCTGGACCTTTCACAAATGCCAAGGTGATAGACAGGCTGTTCCAGGGTAAAGGAGGCTGCAGGGCAGTGGTTGCAGTACATGATCCTGCAGCATCCTTGGGTATAAAGGACATTGGTCGAACAATCACGAACATCTGAATAAGGTCTATGTATTAGACAATTGTTCCAACTGATTCCTGATTTTCAAAATTGCACTGTGATTATGTAAGAAAGCACCATTGTTTTTAGGAATATATACTATCAAATGGTTCAGAGAAATAAATGCATGTATGTACCCCCACACACATGTTGGAAGGGAGGGAGTGGATAAAGCAAATAGGACGTTTTAACATTTCAGTAATCTGGGTGAAGAATCTACGTGAGCCCTATGTGCTATTTTTGTAAATACTCTAAGTCTGAAATTATCTCAAAACAAAAAGTTAAGAGGGATAAAAGTGCTTAAAAAATCATTCAGTGGCAGGGCCAGGAGGGCATCCAGGTGTGCAGTCTGTTTTTCTTTTGCCTGTGGTCATTTAGTTGCCAGCTCACACTGAGCCCCTATCCCTGCGCCTGGGGTAGAGAGCTAAGCGCCTGGACATTGGCGCTGACCCCAAGCCATGTCCTTCTTGCCGTGTTGGTGCTTGAAAACAAATGAAGCCCTGGTGAATAAACCCATGAAAGTCTGCGGTGTCTTTGGCCCACAGTAAACATTGGGGAAATTGCCTGGCTCAGGAGCGCGGGCGGGGTATCCCTCCTGCAAGTTGGGCAGTTGGGACTATGGTTTGATCACTTCCCGTGGGCCATGCCCTCCCGAGACACAGACTCCCGCGTCCCGGTAGCCCTGCCCAGCCCTGCCAGCCCTGCCAGCCCCTGCCCCCAGAGGCGCACCTGCTTGCGGGCGCGCATCACCCGCATGGCCCGGCTGTGGAAGGCATCGTTGCTCTCTTTGTTGTACTCGCTCAAGGCGAAGTTGAGCGCCTGCTGCACGCCTTCCTCATTGACATCTGCCTCTGCCAGGCCGCCGGGCATGAGAGGCTTGTTGGGGCTCGCGCTGGCTGCAGAGCTCACTGCCAGGGCCAGAGCCGTCAGCAGGAGCAGCGGGGCGCGCAGGAATCCGGCCATGGTCGACTCGATAGTGACTCGAGCTAGAGTGGGTAGAAGAAAGGAAAGGGGCGGAGATTCGAGAACTGCGAATACCACCCTCCCACTGAGGCTTTTATTCCCTGGGTCTGCCCTGTTCCCGCCCTTCCGGCCCGGCCTCCGACTCCTCCTTTTCCGTGTCACATCCCGCCCCCACCCCCGCCCACTTCCGCAGGCCAGCCCTTCCCCTAGGCCCTGTTCCTTTCCAGTCAAGGTCTTGACCTTCCTACCAACCCTTTTTCTCAGTATTTTGTTACCGACTCCCCCGGCTCCTCCTCTCATTTGAGCCCTGCCCCTCCGCCCAGTCCTGGCTTTCCTAATCCAAAGTCGGTCTGGGCTCCTCCTCCCACCCATTCCATCTACTGCCCACCATTCCCGGACCTCTAGTGTGCTCTCAAGCCCAGCTACCCTGGTCTCAACAGAAGGTGTCATCCTTCTCTGGGTCTGTAAAGCTTGTAACCCCTGAATTCTAATTCCTTCTTTTAAAAAAGGGAAAAATAGCTGTCTTGGTCTCTGAGCAACTGGTCAAATTCTAGGGTTCCCAGAGCAGTGGTACCATTTCAAAGACTGGGGAACACCTTTTCTGCATCATGTGCTGGGGAATTTCTATGCAAAACATAAGTGAGCTAATTAAGCTCTATTTGGCAAAACGTTGGAGTTCTCTTTTTCACAACTTACTTATTTAGTCGACAAACCTTTTTGGGGCACCTCCCTGGCCGGGGTATGTAACACAGGTGAGTGGGTGAGTGAGACTTAGATTTGACTATGTAGAGTGGCCACCCGATAGAGATGAAACCAAACTCATGTGCAGCTTTCTATTTTCTAGTGGACACGTTAAATAATGTATAAAGTTACAGGAGACAGTAAATTTAACAGTATTTTTATTTTCTATGTTAAAAAAAATTAAGGTGAGAAGCAACAAGTCTTGATTTGAGATCCAAAACAATAGTTATTCCAGGAGCACTGTTTTAGGCAGAAACTCATATAGTGCTTTTATTAGGAGGTAAAGGTGTAATAGTGATTGAAAATAAATACTGATCAAGTAATAATTATAAAATAATAGGTTGTACTAACAGACTCATAGAAAAATCGTGTACTAAAAGCTTTCTTATGAGTATTTTGTAGATATTAGCAGTTGTAGTTTGTGCCTGACCAAGGAACTACCCAAACTGTAAGAACTGGACAAACATCAGCAATTCCTACCAGAACCAGCAGAAATGCTTGCCTGTGCTTACTGCTCCTGAAGGTCAGGAGTAAAACTGAAGATAGAGCAATGGAATTACCCTGATGACACATGCTGGAGATAACAATGAGACAACCTGAGGGCAGAACTGAGAAACTGCATTTGTCAGAATTCCCTTAGCCCCCTCTTTCCACAGTTTCCCTATATAACCTAGCCAGATGTCTGAGATGCTAAGGTGGTTTTGAAGGCATGAGCCTGCCATCTTCTCAGGTTATCAACTCCTGAATAAACTCCTTTCCTTCTCAATCATTACCTGCCTCAGAAGTTTGGCTTTCAGGATGGTAGGTAGCTGGACCTGTGGGTCATTTTACTGGTTTCAAAGGTAAAGATATTTATAAGAAAAGGAAGGGGAATAATTATTTGAATAGAAGGAAGACATTTCAATGGATGTTAACAAGCTAAGGAGGGAATTTCTACAGATGCAGATAAGCTAATATAGTGATAGTTATTCTAATGAATGTCATTGATTTTCAGTTTTGTATTTGTGAACTCTGCTTCTCTGTTTTGACTCCAAGAAAGAAAATACCTGCCAAAAAACATTCCTTGTGGTTGATGGGGCACAAATTCAAAACTGGAATCCAGCAGCCATTGTGGCAGAGGCCTCGCATGCACACTGCATATCAGAGAAAGGCCACAGGCTGTGTTGTTAGCCTGTATGCTGTGCTCCTGCATTGTGAGTCAACCATTTAAAGAGAGATCCTAAGATAGAAATTCAACCAATAGATCTGAGACTTTCCTGTCTAGTTTTAGGTATATAGCTATATTCTCATTTGTATCTTTCCTGACCAATCAGAGTTACTGTTGTGAACCGTCCTGCTTGATTTCAGGGACTGTAGCCTTGCTGACAGGTGAGAGGGCCCCAAGGCTGGAGTTAAGCAAGAAGGCCTTGGAAAAATGGGCCACTGAGGAGACAAAACATGTCCTCTTGGCAGGGCTGCAGCCCCTGCCTCCCTCACATCACCTTGCTTGGCGCTGGTTAGTCAATAATGGGTAAGACCCCTCGATGGTAGGGGCAACCTAAGGTAGGCACAGTCACATGGGACCATCAGGGAAGGACTTGGGGGACATGGAAAAAGGGCAAAAGACCCTCACCCCTTGGCTTTGTTATGGCCAGAGTCCTCATTCTATCTGAAAGAAGTCTCCTTATCTCTTGGCTTCTCTGCTCTGCACACCGGGCTCAGGCTTGAAGCAATACTAAAGGCAGGTACAGCCTTAAACTGGATCAAGCAGTTCTCGGGGACAATTAGGCCTGGAAAAAGAATGCATTGAATCTTATGAAACTTACTTTGGTAAGAATACCCTGGAGTTAATGAGTAGTGATGTTTGGGGTTGAGCAGAGAATGTGATAAGTTTCCCAGGTTTCAGGGCTGAATGGGCACCACCCTGACCTGAGGCAAATCTCTTGTGTTCCTACAATTGTTATCTATGATCTCTATTTGTTTTCTGTTAACATAGTCTTTTGACATTGATTGATGTGCTTTGCATCCATGCTGTGCACCCCTGTGCATATTGTTCTTAATAAAAGCCACTTCAAGAGAAGGGCTTGAGGCCTTCTCCACTAGAAGGAAGTGCCACCCCTTCCCCTAGCAGATGAAAATAAAAGTGTCTGGGATGACTTATTTTATTTCCCCATTTTTGGCAACCTGGAGTGTACTCTGCAGGACAGAGTCTGCCCTCTGCCTCAGCTGGCATCCAAACAGGGACCTCCAGAATCCGCCTCAAGCTACTCCATTTTGACTAATCTGAGGAGTGCTATTGTGGACCAAACTGTGATGATTTGGAGTCCTCATTTACATAGCAATAGATCAATCAGGAATGGGGGGCATTATTCTGTATATAAGCCATTATTTACTGTCATGGTGGAAGCACACATTTAATTTCTCTGGGAGATTTTCCCCAGCTGGAGGCCACCTCACCTGGACCACCTTTCCCAAATTGTTTCAAAATTGTGCTGTTCCTAACCAGACTTACCAAGAAAAAAAAGAGGGAGGACCCAAATAAATAAAATCAGAAATCAAAGAGAAGTAACAACTGACACCAAAGAAATAAAAAGGATATTAGGAAATACTATGAACAACTCTATGGCAACAAATTGGATAATCTGGATGAAATAGATAAATTGTGAGATACATACAATCTTTCAAAACTTAATCAGGAAGAGTCAGAGATTCTGAATACACATATTATAACTAGTGATCATATTCATTTATTAAAAAAAGCACTTGATACAATCCAGCACCCATTTATTGTAAAAACAGCAAGGTGGGAATAGGGGTAGCATACCTCAATGTAATAATGGCCTTACATGACAATCCCACAGCCAACATCATACACAACAGGCAAAAATTACAAGTGTTACCCTTAAGATCGGGAACAAATAGAAATGTCCACTTTCTATACTATTATTCAACATAGTACTAGAAGTCCTACCCATAGCAATCAGACAAGAAGTAGTAAAAGGTATCCAAATTGGAAAGGAAGAAATAAAACTGTCATTATTTGCAGATGACATGATACTATACATAGGTAACCCCAAAGATTCCACCAAAAAACTATTAGACCTGGTAAATGAATTCAGTTATGTAGCAGGATACAAAAAAAAAAAAAAAAAATCTAAGAATCAGTTACATTTTTATACACCAATAATGCACTATCAAAAATACCTAGGAGCGCTGGCTGGTGTGGCTCAGTGGACTGAGTCCTGGCCTGTGAACCAAAAGGTCACCAGTTTGATTCCCAGTCAGGGCACATGCCTGTTTTACAGGCCACATCCCTAGTAGGGGGTGCATATGAGGCAACCACACATTGATGTTCCTTTCCTTCTCTGTCTCCTTCCCTCCCCTCCAAAAAATTCAAGAACTCCTAAACTGTTTTTTATGATAGCAGTATTATCTGAATTCCAAAACAGGTAAAGACATAACAAAGAAAGAAAACTTCAGGCCAATATAGCTGATGTGCATAGATGTTAAAATCAACAAAATATTGGCAAACTTCATCCTGCGATACATTAAAAAGATCATCCACCATGATCAAGTGGGATTCATCCCAGGGATGCAAGGATGGTATCACATATGAAAAAACATAATATGTCACATAACAAACTGTAAACCAAGAACCACATGATCATATGAACAGATGCTGAAAAAGCATTTGATAAAGTAGAGCTCCCATTTATGATAAATATTCTCATGAAAACGGGCATAGAGGGAGTATAAGTCAACATAATAAAGATCATATATGAAAAACTTATAACTAACATGATTCTAAAAGCTTTCCAACTAAGATCAGGAACAAGACAAGGGTGTCTGCTTTCACCACTTTTATTCAAGATAGAGTTGGAAGTTCTAACCACAGTGATCAGATAAAAAAAGAAATAAAGAGATGCAAATGGGAAAGAGGGAATAAAACTGTCATTGTTCACTGATGTCATGATAGTGTACATAGAAAATCCTATTATCTCCATCAAAAAACTACTTGATCTGATAAGTGAGTTAGGTAAAATAGCAGAATACAAAGTCAATATTCAGAAATCAAAAGCATTTTCATATACCATGAAATAGAGAAATTAGGTAAAAAAAAAAAAAAGAGAGAGAGAAACATTTACTGTAACAACAAGAAAAATAAAATATCTAGGAATAAACCTAACCAAGGAGGTTAAAACCTGTACTCAGGAAACTACAGAACACTGGAGAAGGAAATTAAGAAAGATACAAATAAATAGAAGCATGTACCGTGTTCATAGATTGGAAGATTTAACGTGATCAAAACATCCATACTGAGCAAAGCAATTTATAGATTCAACTCAATCCCTATTACAATACCTGTGATTCCAGA